TGTGGAAAACAGTATGGAGATTCCTCAAAAGACTGAAAATAGACATATCATATAATAGCAATCCCACTCCTGGGCATATATCTGGAAAGAACTCTAATTTGAAAAGACACCTGCACCCCAATGTTCATAACAGCACTATTTATAATAGCCAAGACATGGAAACAACCTAAAGGTTCATCGACAGATGACTGGATAAAGAAGTTGTGGTATACTTATGCAATGGAATACTACTCAGCCATAAAAATAATAAAAATAATGCCATTTGCAGCAACATGGATGGACCTGGAGATTGTCATTCTAAGTGAAGTAAGTCCAAAAGAAAAAGAAAAGTACCACATGATACCACTGTTATGTGGAATCTAAAAAAATGACAAATGAACTTATTTACAAAGCAGGAACAGACTCGTAGACATAGAAAACACACTTGTGGTTACTAGGGTGGGGGAATGGGGTGGGAAGGGATAAATTGGAAGTTCTAGATTTGCAGTTACTAAGTAATATGTATAAAATAGATAAACCACAAGTTTATCCTGTATAGCACAGGGAACTATATTCAATATCTTAGTAACCTGTAATGAAAAAGAATATGAAAAGGATTATATGTATGTATATGTATGACTGAACTATTATGCTGTACACCAGAAATTGACACAATATTGTAAACTGACTACACTTCAATAAAATAAAATAAAAAGCCATACGTGAATGTTTATAATGGCTTTTTTCAGAATCAACAAAAATCAGAAGGAACACAAGTGTCCTTTAACTGATGAGTGGATAAGTATGATACATCCATACAACGGGATACTACTCAGCAATAAAGGAATGGACTACTAAGAGCAGAATTTGGATGTATCTCAAACATATTATACTAAGTGAAAGGAGCTAGACTCAAAATGTCTGACGCCATTTACATGAGGTGATGAAAAAGGCAAAAATAAAATCAAAAGTAAACAGATCAGACAGTTGGCAGGGGTTTGAGTGAAGGCGGGCGGGATATGGTTAGCAAAGGGCACCAGAGAATTTGGGGGATTGATGCAACTTCTAGATCTTGATTTTGGTGGTAGATATATACTCTACACATATGTCAAAGCTTGCAAAACTGTAAACTAAAAAAGGCAAATTTTACTGTATGAAAATTGTATCTTAATAGAAATGAAAAGAACTGTAGGGAATGATAATTTTAAATAAATGAATATGAAGCTTTTAATGTTCTGCTCCTACAGACTTCTTTACGTGCCCATAGAAAAATTCCCCTGACATCTTGTTATTTTGTCAAGAATGTTAGTTTTTACTGTTTTGAAATACAAATATACATATTCTTTGTCAATTGAACTTGCCAACTCATGTATTGAACCAACTTCTGTGATCACCGTTGCTCCCTGTATTATATACACCCCAGGTATCATTTATCTTCTTGCTGAAGTTATTTTATTAAAGGGGTCTTTGATAGTAAGCTCACGGCCTCCAAGCTCATTTAGTGAGAGAAGAGTGCAGGGATACCAGGCCAGGAAACGTGTCCAAAGGGATTCATTACCATCTCGTTTCCTGGACCAGCATTTCCAGGCGAGGCCATTTCAGCTGGGAAGATAAGTCCCTGTGAACTCAAGGGAGAACAGAGCATAGGGGGTGGGTCATGGGATGAGGAAACTGAGCAGCCTCCCCGAGGACAGGCCCCGGCCCACTGTTGGCCCCAGGGACAGTGAGGCCAGGCATTGTAGCATCTCCCTTGGGCAGCCCTTCTAATATTTACTTCCCCCATATTTCTGCTTCTTTCATCTTTTCTCCCAGACCCTAGAAAGTATAAATGAAAGTCTGAGCACCTGGACCCCAGAACTCAGTCTGACAGATGCTGCAGAGCCCAACGGGCGTCATCCTCGAGGAGCTCTGTGAGAGAAGCAGTTTCTCCTCCTTCTCCACAGGCTGGAGAACAAGAAACCCATCTTCTTGCTCCATAGAAACTGCCCAAGGACTGTATTAGCTCTGTCTGTGTTTACTGCATCTCCAGAAAAGCCCTGCAGAAGAAAAGAAGGAACAGAAGGAGCCCTACACCTGCCTTGGTCAGACTCCATAGACTTTAAAACCAACTCAACAAAAATGTAACCAATTGGATACTGCTGGAAAAGCCCTATCTTCCTTCTCCAGTTCTACTGGAACTTCCTTGAACCTCAGTACCCAGGATACCCCGTATGGTGAGGCATCTGAACTTCTCACCACCTGAGGTAAGAGCACTGTCTCACTTTCAGGGAGCCATGCAGCCCCTAAGAATGTTGGGTTGAGAGGCAGAGCCCAGTGCAGACCCCAAGAACTTCAGCTCTACTGTCTCCAGGTTCTCTGGGGCTTAGGCTCTGTACCCCAACCCAGTTCCCTCTATTCCTCATTTTCTAAACATGAGGAGGAATCTCTGAGGACTGATGGAAGAATCTGTGCTACACATCAGTCCTGGGTATCTGCTTCCTGGTGGAAGCATCAGGACCTGTCTTTACATCCCATGGGCTTTGCTGGCCTCTGATAAAAAGTGTTTATACCTGTGTGATAATAAATGCCTCCAAAGGGACATTTAAGAGCAAATGATAGTCTTGTAGATGCTCTAATACATTTCTACCAGTAAAATTCTGTGGACCCAGCAGAGGCTAATAGAAAGGAGTGAAATGTCAAAATATGTATGATGCAATAGAATGAAGTGATTTAGAGAAATACACTTCACTTACAGATTCTTTAACATATGTTCAAAGTTGGATTTATCTGCCTGGTTCCCATGATGCATGATGCTGATTTCTGCCAATCTGACATTCCTCCCTTTTCTAGCCTCTCTCTGGGATTGGGTACCACACACCAGCAGCAGCTTCCTGACATAAGCTCTTCTTCCATCTCCCTCTTCCATCCAGTGTGGAGACCCTGGCCCTGCAGGAGGGAGAATGGGGATCTGGGTCAGGGACAAGACAGGAAAGCTAGGATCATTGAGGCTGATTACAGCATACAACAGTGGACAGCTCTTTTGTTTCCACATCTTCACCATTT